TAGAATGTTTTGTAGATAATTTATGTTAGTATATTAGTTTTTTCTGTTATAAGATATTAATTAGATTTTTTGGAGTTGAAAAATGCTTCATATTAGAAGATTTTAATTGATTTTTAATATTTTGAAAAATATAAAATGAGTATAAAAGAAATAAAAACATGTAATTATATAACTAGACTCACTCCTAAAAATCATCTATATTTTTGGACCTAGATCTAAAAGCCCCTAAAAATAAATAATGACTAAAACTTTTTTTTATAACTTATATAGAATAATAATACAAAACTATATATTTAATATAGAATATATTGTATATATTAATATGGCTATTGTATTTTATAATAAATCTTTTAGTAATTAAACTTTAAAATTATCAAATTAATTTTTTTCTTAACGGGTCGAAACGGGTCACCCACGTGTTACCCATGTGTATACCCGTTAAGAACCCGTTATTAACGGGTCACCCGATAAGTTATCGTGTTGACCCGAAACCCGTTATTTTCGTGTCGTTTTGGTGTCGTGTCAAAAACTGCCGGGTCTAATTTAACATCATTTGTAGGTGAGGCTTCAATAAAAAAAATAGTAAAATTTGAACCTGTGAAATTACATTATTGCCTATCATTTTTTTTTTTTTTTTGTGATAGAAGACTAAGTAATCTTTTCACTCTCTTTTAATTGACAAAAATAATTTCATTAATTAATACAAATATTTAGTTGCAATAATAGGAATTTTGCATGCTTCTTTGAGCAAAGCACCATCAATGCCCAACTAATTTCCTTATGAAGAAACCAAGGAGTTCAATCGCCTCATCTCACATGCTCGAACTAAGACAATATAATTGTTGACCTAACTATCCTAGGCGGCTAACTTTTCTGGATATGATTCTTGAATGAAAATTTAAAAATTGAATAGTTCGGATGAGCGGATAATATTCTGGAGTGGGCTCAAATGCGTGGTTACTGTCATATTAAATTATTATTCTATACATGTACATATACATATATATAATTTAGGGGAATTATTATTGGCACTTTAAAATTCTTATACTACACTCCAAAGAAAAATACACTTGTGAGGAGTGTAGAATGAGATTTTTGGAGTACCAATAATACTTCTCTAATTCGGGGACAAACATTTTTCACACACATTCTGACACTCCTTTTGTAGAACTCACTTGGTGATGTATTTCAACAATCTGAATCATCTATATTTTAGAACATCATCACTCTTAAATCATCATTGCCAAAAAATAAACAAATTCAAAAGCATTAAGACATTCATTTGTAGTGAAGAAAATAGACAAATACATTTCTAGAATGAAACTCTAAATTTAATTCAATGTTCATATGGTTGGAACGTTGAAGTACATTATAGAATAGGCCCCAGTAATACGCCAATTTGTCCACTATTAGTAGATAAAATAATTTCTTTGACTTTCAAATCTCAATATCTTGTTCATTTGCAACAAAAAATATTTTTCTTGTGTGGCAGAAAAAAAAAAAAAAGCTTTTTTGGAGAGAGATACTATTTCCCCAATCGAGTTACAGATGTTTACATATTCACACCTAATGATTTTCCACAAAATGGTGATGAAAGGGATAACTTGTACCAACATCAAGCTCTAAAAATCAACAAATTTTTTGTTGGGAATTATGTATGATCAAAATTTTTTTGCTATTTTATATTCTTTATTCTACCGGATTTCGGGAATTACTTAATACCGCATTCTTGGTCATAGTATATTGTGAAGGCGACTGTTTTACTTAACTCTTCTTTATTTTTATTTATTTTTCCAATCCAAATAAATAGTATAGAAATGTATTCATTTCATCTGCATTGACTCAATTTATGATACTGTCGGAGTGAAACAAAGGATCTAAAGAAGAACAGAGGCTAGACTATATTAGTAACAAGTAAAATCCTTTACTTTATATGTAAATTGTCTCGATATTTAGGGGATAAAGGCCAATTGCAAGATCTGAGACAAGGAGCAAATTCGTTAATAAATACTAGAAACAAAGGGTAGGCTTTCTATATATGTATCGTTCAAAATAACGATTTTTTATCAGTTGTAGCAAAGAAATAAACTTCATAAAAGTTTCCATCTAATTGATATATGTTCATTCTAGGGTAACAAGATGGTTAGAAGTCATTTATTTTTTCAATCCAATCGCTCTTTTGATTTTGAAAAAATCTTTATCAATATACTACCTTCTTCTACACATTTATCTCTACCTCATAATGGGTAATAGCTAACAATTAGGACTCATAAGAAATTTATAATCCACTCATGGGAAAATTTTATACGGTGGAGTGAATGGTTTGATCAATGAATATTCGATCCTTTTTTCAAATTTTAATCAATTCACAACAAGTCATATAAATAAAATTTAACCAAAAAAAAAATATATATATATATATATATATATATATATATATATATATATTTGGGTCTTCATTAATCATTTTGAGATAGTATTTTAGTACTATACATATATATGTAGGTTTATCCTTTATCCTTTCTAAAGTTTCGATGGAAGGATTCCCTTACTAACACAATGCAACCAACTCTATTTGTTAGAACAGCTTCCATTGAGTCTCTGCACCTATCCTTTTTTTATTTTCGGTTTACCCTTGTTTATTTTTCATAAAAACAAGATTTGGCTCAGGATTGCCATTTTTAATTCCAGGGTTTCTCTGGTCTTGAAAAAACAAGTAATTTCTGTTGGGCTTCATTATTTTTTTAGGTTCATTAGGGTTTTTATTGGTTGGAACGTCCAGTTATTTTGGTAGGAATTTTTATATCTTTATTTCCTTCTCAGCATCTCTCATAAGTTCACTAATTACTTAGCTTTTTATTGGCGGGTCTTTTTGTATGTGTTGTTTGAAAGAGGAGGACTCAATGATTATTCGTACACGATGGTCTAAAGAGAGGAATGGAAGTGATTGACACCAAAGCTCCTCTAAGTGTTCCAGTCGGCAGAGCGACTCTATGACGAATTTTTAACGTGCTTGGAGAGTAAGAAGTATGACATTACAATGACCCGTATATATGATTCGATTAAATTCTGAATAATCAGGAATACTACTTTCTTTTCTACCCAAAAGTATTCAAACGTTTGTGTTTCACTAGTATGTGACCAAACCTTTCGGTGGTACGAAGTCAAATGTTAGAAAATTCATTTATAATGGATAATGTTACGAAGAAGCTTGATACAATAGTTCCAATTATTCCTTTGATTGGATCATTGGCTAAAGTGAGATACCCCTCTAGAAAAGCTAGAATTCTAATCTCGTGTCATAACCTACGGACCAAAGGACAATCTCAGGTATACAGTTTCTATGAGGCGTAGGCCTCCCAAAAGGTAACATAGGGGTGCAAAGGTTTCCTCCGGCCAAATGGAGATTGGCCCTCGAGTTCAAAGGCAGAAGGGAGCTTGATTGCAAGACCCACCTGTCGAGCAAGGACGAAAGTCAACCTTAGTGATCCGATGGTGCAGAGTGGAAGAAAAGGATGGGCTTCAAGAGAATGATTAAGAGTTCTTGCAGAGTGAAACCATGCAATACCAAACACGAGATAGATCTTCCGAAGAACAAGGCTTTTTACACAAAGGATCCTTGTTTGGCTCTCTCTTTAGCCCTATGTCTCTTATCCTTAGGTGGTCTTTCTCCACTAGCAAGTTTTCTCGAAAAACTTCATTTATTCTAGTGTGGATGGTAGGCATGCCTATATTTCTTGGTTTCATTTGAAAGGGGATACAAAAGTATGGTTTGGTTTCTTCACTCACAAAAAGATAAAAAATTTAGACCAAAAATAATAAAATTTTGTTCATTCTAGATCTAATTGATATGTCATTGAATTAGTATCATGTATCAAAATGGAATGTAAAACAATGTATGCGTGCATCTCTTTGTCGTCATAGACCAGATATGGTATGGGAAATATAGGAAAAATGTACCATTAATGAATTTTCAATCGCGGATACATATGTATCCTTACCATACTGAAACAACTGCCATTATTGGTATTAAACCAATAACGATTCATACAAACTAAATCTTCTAGATACACACATCATAATATACTCTTTTTTTATTTCATAGTTGAATCAATTAAAAAGAAGAAGACCTAAAGTTAAGGACTTATCAATAGGTAGTGTTGCTCTAATACCCAACCAAAGGGCTACTACAATACCAATCAAAAAGACGGTTGTCGCTACGGGACGACGAAATGAATTTTGGAATTATTAACATTCTCCAACAAAGGTACTGTTAATAATCCCACAGGTATTGAAACCATTAAAAGAACGCCCAATAACTTATTTGGCACTTAACATCTAATTGAATAAAAGACTTGACGAATATAAACATAGGACGGCATACATGTATAAATACGAAAACTTCATGTAAACAATCAAGAACCATTTGAATCTGTACCTTGCTAAAAAGCTGATCATTGTTTAACAATCACACATTGTCTAACCAATTCTCTTTCGATATGTTCCTTAAAAAATCCGATTTGTGTGGATTCTTCCCTAACTAAAGAAGAGATCTTCGCGGAATTACCGCATATGAAATTGAGCACAATTTTGCATAGCCCACTTTGATTCTCTATCAACCATATAATGTAAACCATTAACAGGGTTAAAGCTAAACCGTTTGAAGTTCAAATGCAACATGGTATTCTTTTCTACTACAATGTCAGTTAATAAGTTTAGACAAAAATAGTTTCAAAACAAATAGTTGGAATTTTTTTCGATATAAAACACTTATGTCGATAAAATGATTTGAAGTGATCTCGTAGTTATTTCTACGGGGTGGAGACGATGGGGTCGGCCCATGAAATTTTCTTCCTTTTGCTGCATTTAACTCAAGGAGTTGAAGGGAGATAGTGCATCAAGTTGTTCGTAAGGGCCAACTTGATCTTCTTCCCCAGGGATCCCAGATGAGAGAACCCTAGGAGAGCCGCCGACTACAAGTACCGTCCATGTACGATACTATGGCCGTCATGTAAGTCTGCCCCCATCGTCTAGCGGTTTAGGACATCTCTCTTTCAAGGAGGCAGCGGGGATTCGACTTCCCCTGGGTGTAGGGTAAAATTGAGGTTACACAAAATAGGGCCGAAAAGGATATACTTTTATTTTAAGATGCGTGTCAAATATGTGTAAAAACGTGAGTGTGTGTGTGTGTGTGTGTGTGTATTATGGTATGTATGTATATTTAAACCAACAATTCTAGTACGTATACATCTTTAACAACTTAAGCTCCTAATCCAAATTGAAACCATGAATTGTCAAAACTGATCAGCCAAAGTTTACTTTTTGTTGAATGTTAAGGTTATGATTTAACTTCTACGCCTAAACTACCAACAACGGCTATAATGAAAAAGCATGTGGATTGACCTAAAAGACAAAGCCGGCTTAGCTCGTGGATTCGTGAAAACTTTGAACTAGATCACATTACGGTTTTGAGAATGTGTTGATGCTGATTGGTGAAACAAAGTCTTAATTTCACTGATCTATGAGGTACAACTTGAAAAATAGACGGTTAAAATTCAATGCGATATGAACCCCACAACTAATCTCCATTTTTATAAGAAAAAATAAGATTCCCTTCCCTTAAAGGCTTCATATATATAATTTATTGGTTGCTACAATTGCTAGACAATGAATGCATGCTTGAGGGAAGTTCCACTTTATATGCAGCCGTGGGGTACGTAGCGACAGCTTTCCAACTTAAATTAATGTACATGGTTTATCTTACAATTCGACGAGTTAAACATCTTTTTTTAATTTATTTAACTAACATAAATGATATTCCTGAAGAAATCCCTAAACATTGAACATTTCAGATTGTTGCATAAAAAAAAACATTTTAGATTATTAGATAACATTAAAATAGTCTGGACAATTAGAAATTCAACCCGTAATCGCAACAACCCAATTGCAAGAGCGGAGCTCTAGCAATAACTATATCCCCCGAGCCAAGTGGAGCATGTGTGAAGGAGTCAAATGCGTCTTTTATTCTTTTCCTTGGCGTAGCTGGGCCATCCTGGACTTGAACCAGAGACCTCGCCTGTCCCTGTCTTGTTGGGCATGGTCTCTTAGCTTTTTTCAATTCGAAAAGTTAAGAAAGTATAATTCAAGGTTTTTTTTAACTGAATAACGGATTGACCCGGCTTACCATTATATTAAAATAAATGAAAAACTGCCTCAAGTTGTATCCCATCTTCTCTAAGAAAGCCTTAACCTTCGACAAATAGTAATGAGTCTTCACGGTTCGGTGGCATCTTTGTAAGAATCTTCCTTATGAACACGGTGTTCTTTGTAGAGGGGCTGCTCAATAGACTCTTAACAATAAGATCGTTTCTTTTTATTGAAAATGGACATCCTCATATTATAAGTTGACAATATAGTATATCATCAGCTTCAGCTAAGAGATCTCTCAATTAAGTTATTTGAAGAACGCTTTATAGTGCCTATCATTATATTTTAACGAGCCAAACTAGCTAATTTTTTGGCATTCCTTAAAAAATTATCTTTAAATGTCTCTCTAATTTATAAAAATCACTCAAATTATTCGTCTATTTTCCTCCTTATAATTGAATGTTTTAATAATTTTTTTGTTCTTGTAGATATGATCTTTGAGTGGTGATTTAAAATATAGACAACTTGGGTCATTTATTTGAGGGACCCTTTATACATGTGAGGGGACTGATGCAAATTATATGAGCTAGCTATAAAATCGACAATAATTCTATATGTACACGCAACTTGACACATTTATTGATAAACTCCCTGATAGAGGTGAAACTTGTATGTATGTATGTAAACAACATTACTGATCAACTAATAATACTTCGTGTACTTATGGCTTTCGTATTTTTCAAATTGCTCTTAATAATAATCTGAAAGGCCGCTTTGAAGAGCTTCTGATCATTTAGGACTCATAATCTAGGAAATCATAGGATATATGTTTCTTATTAAAAATATATATAAATCATATTACTGTATTTTTAATATTTGTGCACCAAAGCAAACCTGCAGTTTGGCCATTCATTAGGAACTGTATTTCTCTAGTGAAATCATTAGTCGTTTCCTAAGAAAGTGGACAAGATCGTGTTTCATGATAAACACCAAACGTTTAAAAGCTTTGATATCATCTACTGATTGGCTTTCTTTTTCAAATCTCCCTATAGTTGGCCTAAGCACGTGGAATATAATATATCTATAGATGACAAATTTAGTTCCTCTTACATTGCCATCAACTTCTCTCGTCTAGTTGTAATTGTTATAAATTGTTACACCTCATTAAAAACATGATGTATATCTATAAAGATGGCTACATATATAACTGGTATAAAAATGTTGCCTATGGAAACAATATATATTTATGTTATGGTCATTGATCTCGTAGCACCCCACTTGAAGAAAATCATATATTCAAATTTTATCAAGCAATATCGTTTATGCATGTATAACGTTTACTTGAATGCCAATGTGAATCTAGATTCGCTTTCCTAGTTAGGAATTTTGTTTTGACTGATTATCCACGCACTTGTCGTTTCTTAGAGAGCCTAAACTTCCTCGAGTTTTAATTGCATAATCAAATCGGACGAATTTTTTTTGTGAATGTGCATATGCTAAGGCACCAAGCACGACTTTGTCCCATGCCAACCCAGCTACGTATCATTGACCTTGGAGTTTATAATTCCTTCACAGTGCCCAATTAGAAAATAACTAGGTGAATCGGGTAGGGTCTACCGAATATTTACCACAGATGATTAGGTTCTCAATGTTAAGATTTTGGGAATTGGATCCCCTCCTGAGCTTGGGCTCATGAGCTTCTTGACCAACACATAAGGACAGTTGGATTTTGATCCAACAATTATAATTATTATAATTTTTAGTAGAGTTCCTTATTTCTAGCCGTTTGATCAAAATCCAAAGATCTTTATGTGTTGATTAGGAGGCTCCTGAGCCCAAGCTCAGGAGAGGATCCAATTCCAAGATTTTGTCTTGCTTATGACAAGTTAGCCTTTTGGCCTTTGATGAGATACAAAATGCCATCTTTTAATTAAAAAAAATAACAAACTAGAATAATTCCATATGATGTTTGATAATTTAATTGCATACTGGCCAATACTTAGATATTTATCAAACTCATATAAAATAGACCAATGCTTGGCTCCTCAATTCACTTATTAGCCGATTTACGAAACTTCATCTTTATAATTGGAACTGTTGTAATTATAAAGTTTTATAAAAAGATTATCTCTACAAAAAAAATACTTAAAACTAAGGTTGCTTAGTCAATCAATTGTAACAAATAGAATATATGGTTCTTATTGCTTTTACAGAATTCGTTCATCTGTTTTTTTTTTTTTTACAGTTTGATGACTAAACATCTCATACTTTATTCTTTTTTTGCAGAAATCACTTTTATAAAATGTTTGATAATATGAATGATTTCAATTAATAAGCATAAAGTTCTGTAAATTGGTCATGTAATAAATTAAGGAGAAACTCCTACATTTGAGCCAAGTTAATTATAATAAACTATGGGTCGTGTTGAGTTCAAAACTGAACTCTCTCGATCTATCCCCCTCTCATTCTTTCGTTTTCATCCCACTTCTCTTAAACTACTTGTCTTACTTGTCTATGTTTTCCATAGACCCTGGATTATTATATAATCTTGATATCAACTAGTGTCATTTTTTTAGGATTCATATGGTACGATCTTATTTGGTCATAACTAGTGTCATTTTTTTAGGATTCATATGGTACGATCAAAAATTTGTTAAAATGCTGTCACATATTTGCAATGTTAATTTTGTGTCTAAATTTTTAAAGACAATAAGATAAGCAGTTATCGTGTTAAAAGATGATTTGTATAGAGTGTTTTCTATCATGTGTGTTTCAGTTTAATAAAGTATATATTATCATGTACTATGACATGAATTACTAAACTGAATCACAACAATTACAGTAAACATGATCTGTATAAGTCGCTCTCGTAATACTGACCGACATGTCAAGTTGTCAAACGGCATTATTGTTTTGTTTTTTTTTTTTTGGTGCAAGACTTTGTGTGCAGAGGGTAGAAGGCGGCGCCCGTCCATATAGGTTGCTCCAGTGAGACCGTGTAGGAAGGGATGATATATGAAATAATATCTTCCCCAGTTCTTTTTTTTCCCTTTCATTTTAACGGATGACTTTGAATAGTCATAAACGATCATTTTTTTTAACAATATGATAAATTATGTTACTGGTAATAGCCTAATTGTTAAAATTATGTTATTCCAAACTTTATGGGTTATGCATGATAGGTATATTACTCTTTAATTTTTAGTCAAACTCCATACATGACAGTTTGTTGGAAAACTTAAAAACTCTAATCTCATAAATCCACAATAACATTTACTGAACTCAATATACATATAAGTGCTTGAGTGTTAACTAGTTGATATTGTAATACCATGCTAACTAATCACTCAACTGTGCCATCTCTACGAAGTAATTTTATGATTCGAATTGTCAATATTTTAAGTTCCTATTAGACCGTGACCTAATAAATAGATAAATATGGTAATTTCACTTATATAGGAATCCCTTAGACTGTGACCAAATAAGTAGACGAATATAGTATTGTACATAAACAATAAAACTTCCGAATTTAAGTAAACTTTTGCAAGATTGATCATTGTAAAATGAGCTTGCACGAATGTTTGGCGCCATATTAAATTACTAATTAGTTAGTGCTTGGGCTCTTCTATATGTATCCACACACACACACATATTTGGATGAGTGACTTCCATCATCAGAGGCGGATGCACATATATGTAGATATTATATTATTTCTATTCAAGTATTGCATAGTCTTAATGTTCCAAATTAATTTTTTTTTGGCCCTGGGGATGTTTTAATTGTCTGCATAATATTTTTTTTGTTCGAAGGGTCTCTTCCGTGACCATTATTATTAGCGTTGTGAGTTTTGTGTCACCTGTTGGTTCATTTGGCAAAAGCGAAATAAGAGCATTTTTTTTTTAAAAGTGATTTTGTCTTCCCAAGTGATCTCAAAATTATTATTCTCTCTTATTGTCGTGAATGGCTGCAAGCAAATATTATTACTTCTCATAAGGTACCTAGAACCCTTGCTTTCCTTCATTGGGAACTGCCTCCAAAGGGGTGGTTTAAACTAAATGTGGATGGTTGCAGAAAAGGCCCTCTTAATTTGTTTAGAGCAGGTAGTGTTCTTAAGAACTCTTTTGGAGCTTGGGATACTGGTTTTTGTGTTAATCTTAGGTGTGGTTAGATTCTCAACGCTAAAATTTGGGGCATCTTTTTGGGTTTACAACTTTCTTGGAATAAAGGTATTCAGTGCCTTTTGATGGAGTATGATCCTGCAATTGTTATCTAGCTGATATCACATGGTGCCGCTGACAATCATTCTATTGCTGAATTGATTTAAGCCTGTCATGCTATGTTACTACATGACTAAGAATGTAATATTCGGCATATCTATCGTGAAATGAATTTTGTAGCGGATGAGTTGGCCAACCTAAGCCTCTCTCATCCTTTGAGTCCGATCTACTTTGAGTAAGCTCCATCTTCTTGTAAGGAATTATTATTTTTTGATATTTCTAAGGTCTCTCAACCACGCTACATTATTTTGTAATTTCTCTTTTATCCGGCTATTAGTGACACACCTTGACCCGGAATGTCCATTAAGACTCCGAATCGAGCTATGCTGGCCGACACCACATTGTCACACCAGCACGCCTTGATTTTAGGTCTGGGTGTGTCAATCAGTCCCTTTGTTTAAAAAAAAATGTAAAAAAAACTATCTAAAAGCCAATATGAATGTCATAAAAAAGAAGGGGTGTGCTATCCACACACCTCTTTTTACTTTTCACACACCCCTTGTTAATTTCTGTCCATTGATCTTCTTCAATTCATCCGATCCGACGGCCGAAAACCAAAAATGTGTGAAAGAAGTAAAAAGGATTGTGTGGATATCACACCTCACAAAAGAATTGCATCTTAGTAAAAACAGTATGTTGTTTGAAAAGTATCATAGACAATTAAAAAACGTAAAAATAAATAAGCCTCGTTAAAAAATACCCACACGATGGGTTTCATTTGTTTGTAATTGTAAAATTATGGTTTTTTTTTAGCTTGTGTAACGGGGCTACTTTTTTGTTTTTGTTTTTGGCAGAAACGATTTTTTTTTTTTTTTAATTTTTAATTTTGTCAAACGATAGGTTTTATTAGATAGATGTTAGATTAGCCACCAACGGAGTTTGAACCCATACCGTTATGTAAGGGCTCAACACATTTTCATCACTCTGGCAAAAGGGCTACTTGCCTACAAACGATATTATCTACACTAAAGAAGGAGGGAGTGGACTTAACCTCACAATAGGTTAGCAATAATACGTAATGGGGCTACTTTTTTGTTTAACTCAACATTTATGCAATTTCAATTTAAACCATAATCTTGCATTTATTTCTTATTGGTATAACTACTTGCCTTTGATATTAAATATAAATATTTTTTTAAACCCATACAATACCTATTTTCTTGTCGATGTCATTACTAGTGTTGGTTACTCGATACAGGACACTAACATTTTGGAT